TGAAAAGCACTATATCAAATGCAAGGATTATTATTATTGTACTGCACTATGGCCATATGTAGTTTTTATCTCTAACCTGCAAGCAGATATTATACCTAACCTATGCATCTGGTACAGAGACTAATTATACTGCACCTCTGTTGGTGCCCTAATTTAGATTAGCTAACTCAGCACAGGGATCAAATCTGGCGCTAGACCCACTCAGTTGTTGTATGTGTTGTATTTTTTCAAGGAAAGCAGCTATTATGTATGCTAGGTTCATGATGCAGATTGCTGGCAGCTGTTTGACTGAATATACACGATAAACCTGTACAAGACTGAATAGCAACACTGTTCAAAAGGTTGTTTCTATTTGGGGTTTATTGTAAAGTCATGGTGTCCTGAGGCTGTATCTGAATAGTAAATCATAAATGAGACACATGTGAACCAAATTGCACAAATTGGTGGCAGCAGTTCAGAAAATTCACAAATGAATGGTTTGTATGTAAGTAAAACATAAAACTATCTTAGATAATGGGTTGTAAAATTAACCCTATTTAAGGGTGTGTACAAGCTACAGCTTTGTACTTTGCACTATGTAATAAACTCATTCAATACTGCTCCCACTCATAGCAAACATTAAAAAAAAGTTGGTTTGGCTGGAAGTTTGTTTTACAGTCAAATATTCGACTGTTCCTGAAACAAACCTTTTCTGCTTTCTACTTTTTGTAGTATTGATTGTCTTCTGTAAATGCTCACAATAATTACTATTGTATGAAGTTTTTGTAGGCAAATGTGAATCAATTTGCACAAAGCCCTGGAGGATTGTTGGCCAGGACACTTGAAGAACCTGTCTTCTCTATTTGAATAATGTCACTGGAATGGAATGTGCACTCTTTGTGTGGAGGGACGCCCCCTACTTCAATTCTGGAGAGTATTAGGCACAGATTGCTGCGAGCCAAAGCTTGAGCACCCCTGCACTTGGGTGCTAATGGGAGATTAACCAAAAGCTTACCATCGAGTTCACTGACTGGCAAGCTTCCTGCTGCTTGTCTACCTGGGATGACTCTACTTATTATGGCTTTGGCTTGCAGGGGCTGAGTGGGAAGAATCCCTGCCACCGTGACTGGTCTGTCTCTCCCAACTCCTGCTGACAAACCAAGCTGGCTGCGTGTTACCAGCAGTGCCTTGGAGCACCTGACTAGGGAACTGAACTATTGAGACTGTCACAGAGGGCTGACTAAATTTTGACATTCTGTTGCCGAGTATATTGCTTTGGAGACGGCTCAACTCCAAAGGGACCCCACTTATCTCCCCCAACCCCCTCTTTCCCCTGGGAGGATATTAATACATGTGAGGGAAAAAAATCTTCCTACTGTTTCTTCCTCTGATGTTCAATTTCTTTATAAAAGTGGATCTACTAGAGAGAGGATTCTGAACGATTGTCAATAAATTGGAAGAACTTTAATTAAAGGGAATTAAGAAAATTTAATTGAGATTACAGACAACTTTGTTATATTTCAATATATTATCACCTTTTGATGAAACTGGCAGTTGTCAATGCCTTTTTGAGCGAGCGATTATAATTCATTGAAATTGCAGTGCATGACCTAGGATTGTCTTTCTCTTTTTTAAAAAAAAATGCCCAAGTTAGAAACAGGTTGGTTGACAGCTGACAGGGTCTCAGGAACAGAGATATTTACTGCTTCAAATGCTCCCTGAGGTGTGGCGAGATCAGCAGCCAAAATGAGGCAATGGCATATGCAGAAGAGTTTGGCACAGCTTCTGCACAAAGTAGTAAACAAAAAAATCCATACAGCAATGTACTGTTATGCAATAGTATACGAACATAAGAATTTGCTAGGCAAAGGACCATGGTCCAACTAATTCACCTTCCACCATCCTGGCAGTAAGTAGCTTGACATGTCGTGTCCCAAACTATATACTGTATCCTGATATTTTATTTTCTAGCAGAAATCTAGTGTTTCCGCAGATTAGTTCTGAATTTATCCTCCTTCAATTGCGAGCATTTTTTTTTATAGCAGAAGCATATTTAAGATAACCTGCAAATTACTGCTGGTGCCTAATAGTGCAGTATAAATGGTGCTGTTGTAAGACAGCTCTGTAAGATCCTGTTTTAGTTTTGATGCAATAAGTATTGCTCAGTTGAAGAACTGGAATTCCCTCCTCCCCTTTTCCTCCTTTCACAATTATTGCCAAGAGTTCAGACACATTGCATTTGCTTGTTTTGTGCTTCACTCATAAAGATGTATCCTGCTGTGTGATGGCCTTTTCAGTCTACTGCTGGTGTTAACTAATGGTATGGGGGGGCCAGAACAGAAAAGACTTTTTGTAATACTTCTCTTCTGGCTATTTTAACAAATTGGTGCTTCTTTCGGATTTAATATTCAGGAAGCTGAAAAGCATGTCTAGAATCATCTGTAAAAGAACTTCTTACTGGAAATCACTGATTTGTACTATCTAGAAAAAAGCTCAGATTCCTACAGTGAAGACAGTATTAAACTGCCAAGAGTGCTAAAGTGGAGACAACGAAGGCTTCAGTTGCCTGTTGGCAATCACTAAATCTGAATGAAGCTCCTGGACCCATTCAGAATGGTTGGATGTGGTTTGCTCGTACAGATGAGGAATGTTATAGCGGTAGATTATCCCAGTCTGTGCCAGAAGGGTCTACAGTACTGCTTTGCTTTTTTAGACATCTAAATGCTTAAATGCTTGTGGTTAGGAAAGTGAAATGTGTATTGTATGCATCTTCCTTTTAATGTGAAAACGCACAAAAATAGCTGTATTAAAGGGCATCTATTCAGTGGAAGTCAGCAGTTTCATTGAAACCAGGAGATGAGTCACTTTGCTAGAGGGATGAAAATGAGAATTTTGTGAAGAAGTAAGCCAGGAACAAAGAGGCATATATCAAATTCAGATAGCTGGCAGAGCCATGCAATCGAAAGACTGAATGATGAGTTTGGTGGTCTCGGTTTCCTATACCAGCCACTTGCACGTTAAAAACAAACCTCAGCATACAAAGATCTGAATGCCGGAATTGTGCTTCTGGGAACATATCTAGTGCTCCTCAAAAACCCCTTGATGTATAATAAAGCAATTATGAAAATGTGCTTTATTGCAGAGTTGCATCTGAATTTAATCTTTCAAACATGAATTACTAACTGAAAAAGAATAACCGTACAGATACTCAAGGAATTTCAGTCTCTAATGAAAGATCTTTACAAAAAGTAATTTGAATCACTTGAATTAGAGCAACAGATTTTTGTACTATTGATTATATTATTGTATGTTGGTATTTCGTCTTTTCTTCACCTTCCCTTAGGCATGTGCACAAGATAATTAAAAGTAAGTTTTCAAAAACTAATTAGGATGAGTTCGTAATGCAGTTTAATATAAATAGTTTGCTATATAAAAAACACTGTTACACCTTCCCCATACTTGTCAACAGAACTGCAGTAATACTAATGAAAGATGTATTTGAAGACTTTAGAAATAAGCGGGGGTGAGCCTGCAGTGCAAATTAACTGGTACTATTATTACAAGTTTTTATAGCCTTTAAAACTAAGTATTAAAGTTAAAAAACTAAGTGGATTTCAGTTGTCTCAGCCTAAGCATTCATAAGGAAATGATTTTACTCTTTGATATTCATGAATTTAGGATATTTTTCCAATAACAGGACAGCTATTGTGTAATGTCATATCAGTGTAAACTGTCACATCATCTCCAAGACTGAGGCAGTATTTTTTAGAATAAATTGTGTGGAAACCACAATTGTTTGTCTATGAATAATTCAAGTTAGAAAATACCTAATACAGGGTAATGACTAAAACATTCCTATTTTCTCTGTCAGATAGATTGACTAATTTGGATTTTCAATATTTTGGTTTTGAATTTAAGATAATAGCTTCCCAGAGTACACCCTATTCACTTTGCTGACCCTCCATTTCATGTTTAGTTGTAGTTGTTTGTCCTTTATTTGTGATGGTGCATAATCTGCTATGATACACAAGATTAACAGATGTAGTTCGTTCTGATATGCAGTGATACCAAACTAATGTTCAGTTTTCGTGATTGTACTCTGCTGTACAATGTATGTAATACAGTATGAATCGTTCCAATGTAGTGAGAAGATTATTATACTACTGGAATAGGGCAGTGATTTTGAAGCCTATCGTCCTGAGTTTACAAAATGAATCTCCAGAGATCACACATGTGTCACAACCTTGGGCAATAAAGTTTATATTTTGGTACACTTGAGTTGCATTTTAATTTTTTAAATCCAAATAAAGAATTGGTCTTTTTAGACTAATAAAATATAAATCTATTGTGAAACCATTTTCATCATATATAACATTTATGATTTGTCATGGAGTGTTTCATGATACCTTAATGGAAAAGATTTTGTTCAGCCACAATACACACTTGATCTCTACCACTCATATTGAGGCCCAGGCATACAATAGCCCTTCAGATGAATCTCCATAATATAATTGATAACATGGGACATAATACCTACACGAGCCAGGCACCATCTATTTTAAAGTTTACATAATCTGATTTTGAAGTCCTGGATCTTACTGGTTCTGGATTCGATTCCCGGGCAGGGCGAAACGTTAGGCAAGTTTCTTTACTCCACACGCCTCTGTTTACCCAGCAGTAAGTCGGAACCTGGTTGTTAATCGATTGGCAGATCGCTTTTCCAGGAGTGATAATCCCTTCAAAGAAATAATAATTTGATCACTCGACTGTTTGGTGTGCGCAATTGGCTGCTGGATTTTGCCTACAAAATATACGGTCAATTCACTTTATAGTGTATTCTGTGAAGTACTTTGAAGTGTTTCAAAGACGCGGTAAGGCGCTATATCAAATGCAAGGATTATTTTTGAGTGATGCAGTATAAAAGTCTGGAAGAGTAGAAATTAAAGCATCAAATCATGCATAATATTTGCATATATCGCACAATACTGAGCACCGCCCCCAAATGAAAAATGGCTTCAGGCTTCACATTAAACATTTTATTTACATGTGTAGGCTGTGGAGAAACACTTGCATAAATATACAAGTCTAACAATGGGAAGAGAGCTATATATTCACAAATGCCCATGTTGGTTTTATTCTGTTCTGTAGAGGAAAACAGATTTAAAGATCTGGTCGAACTCCAAAACCCGGTCCCTTGGGTGGTTCTGTCAATGAAGTTAAACCTCCAGCAGGCTCACAGGAGAAACGGCCATTTCTAGAAAGTCAATTGAAAACAAAGCATTTTGTAAAATACAAGAATAATAATTTTGTGTAGTAGTAATTTTCCTCCACCTTTACCAATATGCATCAGCATTTGACAATACCATACTAATGGTACTGCTCAAAAGAACTACATATAGAGAAAGTACTGCAAGTTCAATATAAACTTGAAATTTCAGATTCAAACGCAGCCCTACCATGTCACAATGCAGCACATTACTATATGAACATACAAGTGTGTCAGCTTGGCTCGGTGGTAGTACTCTCACCTCTGAGACAGAAGGTTGTGGGTGCCAGTGCCATTCTGTTTGTGGGACATGGCTGTGCACAATTGTGTGCTCCTGTGCTTGCTTACAAATACAACAACAACAAGATTCCATTTATAGAGCGCCTTTCACGTCGGGAGGACGTCCCAAGGCGCTGTACAGTTGGGTCAGGACCCGAGCATTGGGGGGAAATGGTGAGGGGAGGGAAGGGAGGGAGCGAGGAGGGGTAGAGAGTCGAGAGGGGAGCTGAAGGCACGGTCAAAGAGAAAGGTCTTGACACCGGCCTTGAAGGAGGAAAGGGAGGAGGCGATGAAGGCACTGGGGGATAGAGTTCCAGAGCCTCGGGGCTGAGAGGCTGAAGGACGGCCACCGATGGTAGGGCGGTTGGGGCGGGGGATGTGGAGCAGAACGGAGCCAGAGGAACGGAGGGTATGGGCAGGTAAGTAGGGGGATAGTAGGTCGGAGAGGTAGGAGGGAGCAAGGCCGTGAATGGCCTTGTAGGTGAGGATGAGGATCTTGAATTCGATCCTCTGGGGGATGGGGAGCCAGTGGAGGCGAGCGAGGGTGGGAGTGATGTGGTCCCGAAGCCTGGTGCGGGACAGTACACGAGCTGCAGAGTTCTGAATGACCTGCAGCGTGTGGAGGGAGGTGGCGGGAAGGCCGGCGAGGAGAGAGTTCCCATAGTCCAGCCTTGAGGTGATAAAGGTGTGGACCAGAGTTTCAGCAGCGTGAGGGGTGAGGTAGTGCCGTAGTCTGGCGACATTCCGGAGGTGATGGAAGGCAGTGCCAGTTGTGGCGCGGATATGAGGGAGAAAGGACAGCTCAGGGTCGAACAGAACCCCGAGGTTCCTGACTGGCTTTGAGAGGTGGAGAGTGCAGCCTTGGATGCTGATGCTGTCAGAGTTCCAGAGCCAAGGGGCTGAGAGGCTGAAGGCCTGACCACCGATGGTAGGGCGGTTGGGGCGGGGGATGAGGTGCGGAGGCGCTGACTCGAGCCAATCAGGAGGGCCTCAGTTTTACGCACGTTGAGCTGAAGAAAGTTGTCTCTCGTCCAAGACTCGATGTCGGACAGGCAGGCTGTCAGGACATCGGGGGTCATGGAGTTGAGGGTAGAGGAGGAAAGGTAGAGTTGGGTGTCATCCGCATACATGTGGAAGTTAACCCCATGTCTGCGGATGATGTCACCAAGGGGGAGCGTATAGAGGGTGAAGAGGAGGGGACCGAGGACAGAGCCCTGAGGGACACCGCACGAGACAGTGCGGGGGCTGGAGGAAAAGCCATTCATGGAAACAAAGTGAAGACGGTGGGAGAGGTACGACCTAAAAATGCACAATCACTCCATTTCACAGCAATAAGGTGCTTTCCCAAATGCAAAGGTTATTACTATTAAAAGACCATGCTACCAAAATGTCCCCTTTTTAAACAAAAATGATGAGATTGCCAATGAAAAATGGGTAGATATTACTTTGATCCATTAAACTGAAAAGCCATTAGTACAATGCATACACTACTCCTGTGCAATGCCTCTTACCCCCCGATCATTTTTGATACTTGTTAAAAAAAAGTGAAATTTATTGCTTATTCTAAAAAACTAATAAAAATATACAGTCGGCACTTTGAGAGCTAATGGGGGTAGGGGTAAAATTCAGCCATTAACTACTATTTGGGCTTGGCCTGTGCTAAGCCAACCTTTCAGGGTGCTACAAATGACCATAATGGTGAGGGGGGTAAATAGTTACTGCTCTTAAACAATGACAGTGCACATGTGTAAATTGGGATTTGTCTCAAACTGTGATCCCTCCTCTCTTCAGAGTGCTAGTTTCTAAATTCACAAAATATATTCCACTTTACAATATATTCTGTGAAGCGCTTTGAGACGTCTCAATGATGTGATAAGGCGCTATATCAAATGCAAGGATTATAAGTTCACATGTGAAGAGTGAGTACGTAAACCAGAGGGTTGCATGTCTTATGAAGCAGTGCTACAGAAGGAGTCAGTTGAGATGTATAAAATCAAACAACACATCTCAGGGATGGCAACAACTCTCCAACAATCAGTGTTCTTCGGATGTCCTCCCGACGAAAAATACGCTATACAAATGTAATTTTGTTCTTCCTTCAGCACAGTATCAGAGTGTAAGCTAAACTGTTTGTTCAAAGTCACGACAATGCGGGTTGAACCCACAATTTTCTGACTCAGAGGCGAGAGTGCTTCCAACTGAGCCAGACTGATAAAAGCATTTAGGGTTTAAAATAGTACTGTACATTAAATTACAGATATTGAACTTTCTATTCAAGCAAAATATTTTTTCACATTGGAATTCACATGCTATTCAAGGAATTATATTTACCTTGGACCAGGTATGGGGATCTTGCCAGCTTTAAGGTCATCTATTATTTCCTCCATATCTTTGGGAGTTAGATCTTCCTATAAATGTAAATGAAGTTAATGGGATGAAAATAATATTCCAGATACAGTCTGCATTTTAATACAAATTTAAGCACATTTTCAGATAATCAGAACAGCACATCTGCAATGAGTCATGAAACACATTTCCCAGAATAAAGGTTAAAAACACAAATTAATTCAGGTTTAAAAAGGTAAATTCCGAGCTTTTAATGATCTCCCAAACTCATTAATGTGGCCAAACCAGATAAGTCATATGCCCATTCCACATCAGTGATTTGTTTGCAATTTTGCAGATAATGTAAAAATTAATTCATGCTGCAAACTAGAAACTGGAGGAATGTTCCATGGTACTGAATAAAAGCCGTTTGAAGCCTGACATTTTCCGTCAATCCTAAAATGTGCCTACAGGCTTTGGATCCTTTTGAAGCATCTTATACCACTTTATCATGGTGACTTAATAAGTGATAACCCAGTTTCTTCACCATCAATGTTAAATCCCCGAGGCATTATTGCTTCAAGTTTTAGGTTTTTTAAAGCACTTAAATCTGTATCCAGTACACGGTTTACCAGCCAGATATGTTCAACAATTGTGCTCTGGCAGCATGCAAATGCCTAAAAGTGCTTAATAGACTTACATAATAGCTGTCATTAATTTGGACCATTGGGGCATTCACACAGGCACCCAGGCACTCCACTTCTGTGATAGTGAAGAGTTTATCTGATGTAGTTTCCCCAATTGAGATACCTGAAATAATCAAACTTTTTTATATTAATACTGTAGTGTGCAAGAACATACTCACATATTGCAGACACTTTGCAAAAACCTCACCAGCTATGGACAATACGCTTGGGGCTCTATGCAGACAGAAGAGGAAAACACAGCTGAGCCCAATCTTATCATTTGAAATCTACCTCAAAGACGAGTCTCTGGATATTGATGAAGAGCAGGAACACTGGTTGATTTCATCTGCCATACCATGGAGCACAAAGACAGACGTATTGTAATATTCCAAGTGCTGCCAGAGCTGAGACTCGGCAGGGTGGGGTTGAAACCTGGTCTGTTTAGTTCAATTGCTTGTTGGAAAACTTGCTAAGTGATTTCAAGAGGTCAAATTATATTTTGCAACCAAGTGTTTCCCTAGATACAGTGCGACAGAAAGAGGAAATACTTTTTAACAGACATTACTGCTTTAATGAGAACCATGGATAATATATATATATATATTTGTATGAATGAACATTTTCAATGCCTGATTTAAAGACAGGTATCTGTAACTACCCAACCAACCAACAAGGCCAGTTTTCCACGGTGGTACTGAAATGCTTAAACAATTTCCTCTGACCAGACTTGAAAAACTTTACTGGCAATCATAAAAGGATGGAATATTTTCCACTCTATGTTTCACAGGAATATACTTCTTTATATACACTGCACTTAAAATCCATGACACGGTTAAACAGTATGAATATATCATAAATTTGATTAGAAGTCAAGTAGATAACCAAGGTAACTTGGTAAGTAGATCAAAAAAGTACAATGATATTTGGACATTTTTTAAAAATGACACATTTGGTGAAACTAACTGAACAATTTTGGAGAGTAACGTGATTCAGAACTGCTGGTAATTAATTGGAACAAAAATAAAAATAAAAAATATCTGACAATTCTTCGCTTACCAAGCTTTTTCTTGATGCATTCTACAATGCTGTCGGAATTTCGCAGCATGCAGGGTGTGGTGGTACAGATCTGAATGTGGTATTTTCCCACAAACTTCCGATTAAACATGGTGTAAAATGTTGCTACTTCATACACCCTCATTGGTGGCATTTTCAGAATATCAGCAACCTTTAAGACAATACATTGTAGAAATTACATTTAAAAGGATACAGAATCCATCAGAACAATAGAAATTTGCAGCACAAAAGCAGCTATTCAGCCTATTGTGCTTGTGCTGGCTCTTCACTCAGAGAGTAGTGAATTTGTGGAATTCTCTACCTCAGAAAGCTGTGGATACTCAGTCCTTGAACATATTCAAGACTGAGGTTGATAGATTTCTAAAGGATAGAGGGATTAAGGGATATGGGGATAGGGCGGGTAAATGGAATTAGGTTAGAAGATCAGCCATGATCTTATTAAATGGCGGGGCAGGCTCAAGGGGCCGAATGGCCTACTCCTGCTCCTAAGTCTTATGGTCTCTATAGCTTATCCAAAACAAATGGGGTTACAGTTGCTTCCTGTTTGACTGCCCATTTAGCCAATAAATTCTCAACACAATACTGGAACATAATGACTGCAACCAACAGGAAACAATTAAAACATATTATTGTGTACATTTTCATTACTTCTCCCTAGTATGAATCAATCAATAGGCTGAAAACAAAAGACAAACAAAGAAATGAGGATGTATTTGCACTTAAAAGGAATGCACAATACATGAAAGTTTCAAATATTGAAAATGAATAGTATCTTAGAAAAACGTAACTATTCCCACACACTGCTGCATTTTAGCAGGAAAAAAAGTAAGTCTTATACATGAAGCTGCTCAAACATTCATTGTCCACTCATGTCCAAGAAATCTGGCAAAATATTCTTGTTTTTAGTAAGGCATCATGTATTTTGTCACTTTTCAGAATGAAAGGATTGTAGGCATCAATTCACAATCAATGTAAATTTAGTTGACATTTTTACTATTGGGATGCCTGCTACCGTCAGAAATGATGCATGTTTCTGTGATCATTTTTGTCCCCTGGGAAATGGCCTCAAGATTGCTAGCATCAACCTTGGAGCTCAAAATATCACTGACGCAGTCTACTGAACTGAAAAAAAGCATCAGAGCAGAATTGCATTAAACTGGAACAGAAGTCCTACAAAAGTGTGTCTGATTAGATCTAAAATGCAGCAACAAATAACAGATGGCCAACAGTAAAAAGCATCATTTATACCATACTGAATGTAGGTTACTTCTCAGTAATTCTATCCAATCACTATAGGTAGCAAATAAACATTTTAAAGGATGTCCCCTATGTTAGAAAGGAAAACTGAAGTTTTTATTATTGTCTAAGCTGCTGATAGAAAGGGACAATACATATTGATTTGACAACTGAAGAGAATTGCTGAGAACAGATCATGCAGCAAAACACCAGATGGCCAGTATTACAACCCTGACTTATTTACATGCTTTATACAAAATTTGGCTTTCTCAGTAATTCTGAAACGTCATCTGATTGACCTAGGTACAAGCTTTGTGAACATTTTAATATTATCCTAATTCCCTCCTGTTCCTAATATACATAAATGATCTGAATTTTGCAGACTCAGTGCAAGCTTTCACCCACAATATACAGTGAATCCACTTTACAATATATTCTGTGAAGCACTTTGAGACATATCAACTACGTGACAAGAGGCTAAAAATGCAAATGCAAGGATTATTATTATTTTCAAGGTATTTAAATTTGAAGTTGACCCCGAGCCGGGGATGGGGGGGGGGGGAAATGTAGAATCTAAAGAAACAGCCCCAAGATCTTGACAATGTTTACATCTAGGCTGTAAATAACTTCAATGCAGATAAATGTAACAAACTGTACACAAAAGTAAAAATAGCATTCTACGGATGCCAAGGAGGAAGCTGAAAAGGGCAAAGGGGTGTTAAATCACTTGCTGATCACCAAATGAAAATAGTGTGAAGCAGCAATAAGTATCAAACAGGATGCTTAGCTCCAGTGTCAAATCAGCCAAATCCCCCAAACTCATGCTCAAACTGTACAGTGCCACAGTCAAAGCTATACTTGGGGTACTGTGTGCCATTTTCATCATCACAATATAAGTGAGTTGGCTAGGCCCCAGAGGCAGAGCAGAGATCACATATATGATTCCCAATCTTAGATGAATACAATTTGGTGTTTTCAATCCAGAAAAGAGAGGACCTAATATAAGTCTGTAAGATATTTAATTAACAGGATAATGTGAACATTATGTTCACATGTTCCAAGGCAGCTGGACAAAACACAACCCCCCCACCCCCCCCACACCGTATTTTTAATAGTTCAAGAATGACATTAGTAAATATCTGCCCACAGGTCGTTTGACAATTTCTTAGCCTTTTTTTGATTAGTCCAGTATGTGACTCACATGCAAACCCATCACCATGCTTAAGATTATCCAAACCAGACTGAGTTCCACGAAAATATGCCACTTGTGCTTCAAAATTTCCCAGTGTTAGCAAGATAATAATAATCCTTGCATTTGATATAGCACTTTTCACGCATTCTTGACATCTCAAAGCGCTTCACAGAATAGTCTGTAAAGTGAATTGACTGTATATTTGTGAGATAGTGATTTGTAGTGAGATTATTCACTAGGTGCGGGGAGGGAATGACAAAAACAATGTAGGTGTGATGCAGTAATTCCCCCCCTCAATCCCAAATTACTGTACTTTAGATCATGCTTATTACTTACCGTATTCATGGCAGAAATAGGCAGCCAACCATGCTGCCTCTGGGCAAGATCTAACACTGGGATTACAGCTGCTGATTTATGCCCCTCTGGATAGTTATTGAGGATGGACTCTATCCGCTGGGAAAGCAAACATATATAAGAAATATAAGAAAAGTTTCCCTCAAAATATAAAAACACTTTAGATACTGAGAAAGGCTTTTTAAATTAAGTGCCATGGAGCTTCTGGAATGCCTGAAATTGAGCCCAGCAAAGGTTACTGTGTTCCAAGGAGCTTGGAAGATAGGGCTTTGATCATATTCAGTAATGTGTGCAAGTCAGAATTTGTGAAATTTGGTACCTAATGAAACTTTCACTTATAATACTAAATTATGAATCATTTGGTGTTCACACAATGAATATGAATAGATAAAATTAATGTACAGCAGGATATAAAAGCTCTCTGCAACTCTGCTCAGAACCCATTTGAGGAAATTTGCAAGTGGGAATGAACCTGATGCAGAGGTGGTCAGTACTCCTCAGCCTTGCTTCCCAACACTATTATTGAAAGTTACAATTGTAATTCTGTTGAATTCTCCGAGAATGGCTATTTGAAAGCCACTTCAAGAACAGGAGGAAAGACAATGAAGATTAAAATTTTGGTTTTACCTTGAGGTTATCTGCTGTGAAGTCAAATGGTGTATCTTGGTTATTATCAGGAGTATCTCTGTGCTTCAATAAAAAATAAAACACAAAGAACATTTTAGTACAGTCATATTGAACTACCGTTCACTTCACCCGATTCTGATTCCAAGGCAACCTGATTATTACTAATATTACTAAAAACCTAACTACGAGAATTGCAAACATTTCTGCGTAAATACATTTTGGGTTCACAACTGACTCTATTCAAAGCAAGACATTATTTTTGGTTAACTTCTCTACTAATGGCACCACCCTGCTGTTTGAAGCCCAAAGGTTTCCAATAACAAGCTCTGACTCAATTTCACATTCTGCGTTTTATGCAAACGACTCTCTGTATTCCTCCATTATCCGTACTGAGTGTCAACAGATTGTCAAGGGGCTCATGGAGGGTTCGCCTACAAATACACTGTCACTTTAAATCATGGGACGTTTTGAGATGCTCATTGACGTGATAAGGTACTATATCAAAATACAAGGATTCAGATGCTAAAATAATGCTATTCCTATTTTGGAACTGGTCAAAGATGGCTATACAATACAAAATTACATTTGTATAGGCCCTGTCATGTCGGGAGAACGTCCCAAGCCGCTTATGCTGTGATGATGAAAAAAGTTATCGGATATAGAGTGGGGTTAGACGAGGAGGAATGATTCTCTAAGGTACTGGGAGACAGTGGAGGTAATGAGAGTGCAGAGATGCTAAGGAAAGCATTTGAAAGATCCATGCTCAAGATGACAAAAATATGTCAAAGGGTTTCAACATCAGTGAGTATGGGGTAAGGTTAAGTTAGCAGCATTTTGGAGTTGGGTGATTGCTGTCTTGATGAATCAGATACGGGCCTAGAAACTCAACTCAAGTCACGCACAAGGTCAAGTTTGTGTACCACCTGGTTCAGTTTGAGCGGTTGATGCAACAACAGTGTGTCAGTACTGGTGAAAAGCAAACGAGAAGAATTAAGCCACAATTAAAGAAACAACTTATGAAACCACTTTGTGAAGATTATAAAGTGATTTCTACTTAGCATATCTATTCACTGCATTGACCATTCAGTACAGGAATCTGATACTTAAAAGACATTAACAGTGTAAGGTGATGATTTTTGCTAGGTACACTTGGTGTTCACACTTAGTGTATCCTGACAGAAAGAGTATGGCTACAGCCACCCCCCGCCCCCGCTCGAATCTCAGGCGCAGGCTGGTTTCCATGAGAGAGAGAGAGACTTTGTTCTTCAGCCTATGTGTTTTCTGAAGGAGAATGTAATGGTGGCAGACACAAATTGCTCCTGGAGGCAGCTTGAACAAAGACATCCTCTTTGATAAGAGGATGTGAAAAGTGATTAGAAGGCCCGAAGGAATGCAAATATAAAACAAAGAAAGAATCAGCATGAACTGGTCAGGAGTAGTTTCGGCGAAACCACGAGGGACACCTGGTCAGGGGCTGGGATAAGAGTACACTATAAAAGTGTAATACCCAATAAATCAAAGGGAGAGGAAGACACCGACGGAGAAGGACAAGGATCGCTAAGCGGTCACCATCTCTCCCAGAGGAAGGATTTAATCACCCTTGAATCCATACTTCGCATCCCTAGTTGTCCTCCCGACGTGAAAGGCGCTGTACAAATATAATTGTGTTGTTGTATGTATGGTATAACGGCTTATCAATGTCACTTTGGTTGTATTAAAATACTAATATCTTTCTGAGGAATGCTGATCAGCCTCATTGTATTACATCGTGAGGAACTATAAAACCTTAAAACAGGAGGCTGCAGGGTTTAATCAATTTGATATCAATTACAGCTTTAACCCCCAGTCTGGCATTTCTTTGCCAAGGTATATGCTGCGTTTAGAAATGTCTCAGCAGAGCCGTGGCAATGTCAGAACCAGTGTTTCTATCCCAGATGCAGTCCCTTATGAGTGCATTTGTAATATTTGCAAAATGTTTCCATGTCTTTAAATCATTCTTGACGTACTTTGCAATTTCAAATCCTAAATTAAAATACAAAATCAGATTTGTTTTACTGCCTCGGTGTTTGTGGATTGCTAATACATTTCTCCATTGTATGAAAGCATATTGTTGCAAGTGATATGGATGGATTTCCAATCGCCAGGGTTAAAAAGCTCCCCGAGTGACTGAGCTCAGTTTAGATTGCCATGTACTTACTGAGCTCCCCATTGTAACAAAGTCTGCTTGTTATAAACACATCTGGCAAATCAGATATAATAAGCAGACTAGGTCCAGAAGACTGAAGTGTGGGGCGGACATTAGCGAACTGATAAATAATGCATTTAATCTAGTAAATTATGTATTTAACAGACATGCTCCCTCACGAATCTGCAGCCAGTATTTGTTCAGTAAGGTCACTTAAAAGCTAAGACAATATTAAAATGTGTTTGTCAAATATGGCTTAGCGTTATCTTTACTCATTCTGCAATTAAAAAACACAGCATTGTGTTGCTATGGACTGCTTTATCAAAGTAAAAGCATGAAGAAAAATCCCACTGACTGCGATGAAAGCAACTGTAGAATACCACCAGATATCGATCGCAAAACTGCAGTTGGCAACCCAACTGGATTAGGTGATTTGTTTTGGCTGACCTTTACAAACGTTTGCCACTGTTACAAACTGAGGAATGCCCAAGGATAATAAATACTATGAGTACTTGAGCTAAGTTTCATCCACAAAATACAGTCACTCCACTTTACAGTATCTATGCTAATAAAGACAATATGTCTGTGTGTCTATCTGTGTATCCACCAATAACGCAATAACCGATTGACGTAGAGACATGATTTATGCCCCAACGGAAAGGTCTTACATGCATGAGTGTCATGTGCATCTGTTTTTCCGGGGATCTCCCATCGTTGATAGGCTATACTTAAAAAAATGTTTTAATTTTAAGCCCCAAAATGTGAAGTTTCTTCAACAAAGTAGCCAGAGCAAAGCAGGGTAGTGTCTTAGAGTGCTTAACAGTGGCAAAGGCTGATTCCCAGTCAGGTGAGTGGCTGTAAGCACGGTGGAAGAGGAAGGTTTTCAGGTAGGGTCTTGAAAAAGGGGAGAGAGGGGGCAAGGCAGAGGGATTGAGGGAGAGTGTTCCAGAGTTTCAGGGCATCGTGGCTGAAAGCGCGACCTCCGATGGTGGGGCGGAGGGTGCGAGGGACGAACAGGAGGCCGGTGTCAATCGAGCAGAAGTGCCGGGTGGTGGATTGGCGAGTGAGGAGGTCAGAGAGGTACAACAACAACAAGATTCTATTTATAAAGCGCCTTTCACGTCAGGAGGACGTCCCAAGGCGCTGGTAGGGAGGTGCCAGAGAGTGCAGGGATTTGAGCACAAGTGTGAGGATCCTGAAGTCGATGCGTTCAGTGATGGGGAGCCAGTGGAGCCTGGCCAGAACTGGTGAGGGAAGTATGGGTACGGAGTTTGGTCTGGGTAAGTATGCGGGCAGCAGAGTTCTGAATGAGCTGGATCTTTTGAACAGTGGAGCTGGGGAGACCGGCGAGGAAGGCCCCAAGCGGGAGGTGATAAAGGTACACACGAGGATTTCGGCTGCATTTGGCAAATGTATGGCAGACTTTCTTTGCCTTGCAATAACTGCTCGATTACACAGTAAACCCCTTTGGTGAGTGTAGCTTTGACAGGAGTCCTCCCACAGGAGTCCTCCCACGGGAGTCCTCCCAGCTTAGTATAGATAAAGACAAAATGTCTGTCTGTCTGTCAATCTACATTCCATATTGGATCCTTTGGTTGCAAGTGAAGCTGCAACGGATATTTCTCTCTAGTATTCTATGAAGCGCATTGAGATGTCTTGATGATGTGATATGGTGCTACATCAAATGCAAGGATTATTAAATTCCCCTCTTCAATGCAATATCATGTTAACTGCGCTTCTTTCCAAAGGTGCTGGGACGTCCTTCCTTTGGCCAGGATCAAATGGGCCAAAGAGCCTTCATCATTCAAACATCTTGTGACCTTGTGAAGTGAATGACAAAATGCTAACATACTGAAACAAAGTGATAAAATATTAAAACTTAACAAATCTGGTTTAAAAGTTATTTGCTTACCACATATGAAGCTGCATTGCCTCCTGCACACTTTGCTGTCCTGTGCACATAGCGGATCTGTTTCACCTAGAAGGAAAAATATAAACAAAAAATAATTACTGTACAATCTCCAAGTCAATATTTAGAACATAAAAGTTGTTTTATTCTGGATCAATATCAACTAGTAGTCTCATCAATCGAGAAACAGCTGACGAAAGGTTAATGACCTAATCTCAAAATCATTTCCCACAGTAGTGAAAAGACATACAATAATAATAATACTTGGATTTGATATAGCGCCTTCTGTGTGCAATTGGCTGCCGCGTTTCGCCCACAAAATTCACTTTACCTCTCAAAGACGTGATAAGGCGCTATATCAAATGCAAGGATTATTACTATCATGTCTATCACTATCACTTCTATTACTATCAAGTGGAGTCCTGTAGCTCAGTGGTTAGAGCACTCGCTTTGCAAGTAAGAGACCTGAGTTCAATTCCAGGCAGAGGGCGAAACCTTGGGCAAGTTTTCTTACTCCACACAGAGCCTAATAATAATCCCTCCAAAACCAAAAACAATAATAAATTGGTCATTTTCAATCTACGACTGTTTGTGGGACACTGCTGTGCGCAATTGGCTGCTGCGTTCGCCCACAAATATACAGTCAATTCACTTTACAGTGTGTTCTGTGAAGCGCTTTGGGACATCTAGAAGATGTGAAAAGCGCTATATCAAATGCAAGGATTATTATTATTATGTCATTGAGATGTCTCGAAGTGGTTCACAGAATATACTGCAAAAAGATTTTGTAGGTGAAACGTAGTAGCCAATGCGCACAAATATGAAATCTAAACATTCACCAAAATAACATAAACAAATTTACATTTATATAGCACCTTTCACATCGGGAGGATTTCACAAAAGCATTTAACAATCAATATGTTTACTAAAATAATTTAAAATCTATTTTTATATTCTGATACCTCTGCGACTTCCTAACCTAATATCAGCCTGTCCCCTCCCTGCTGCCCAGCCTGCCCCACCATCAGCGGTTGGGCCTTCAGCCTTTCTGCCCCCATCCTTTGAAACCCCATCCCACAGTCCCTTCGCCTTTCTCCTTCCCTTGCCTACTTTAAGTCCCGTCTAAAGACCCTCCTCTTCGACCGTGCCTTACGCCACCCTCCCACCCCTGCCCTTCACCCCTACTGACCCCAACTCTCAGCTCGGGTTCAAAATCCCTGATTGTCCAGTGCTCTAGAACGTCTTTCCGACGTGACGGGTGCTATACGTGTAACTTGTTGTTGATGGTACCCAATATTCTACCAAAAAGAATGTATATGACATGATTCCAGGGCTTTTCCCTTCACCGAGTCATGCAAAAAGGATGTGATAATCCTGAGTTTATCTCACTGGCTGACCTGGAGAAAGGAGGCAAGGGACTAAAGGAGGAGACAAACAGAAAACAAATATGGTGTGCAACGAGGCACACTGGACTCTGAGCATGGTTCATTATGGAATGACAGAAAGAGGATTCAAATCCACTTGACATTTTAAGTGATCTCACCATTGTGGAGAGATGCCAAATTGAAGCAAAGGGGAAAAAATATATATATCATATACACCAGAGCAGTGAGATTCAAAGCAGCAGTGGTAAACAAACACTCAGATTTTTACACAGTACTGCTTTTCATGTACAGCCCAGGAATAAATGTGGTGATATTCCCCTACTATTCCAGGTTTAGGATATCACTGTATTAAGTCCTTGAATTTAAGGCCTTCAGCTGTAAATAGCAGCTGTTCACGCTGAGTTTGACATGACAACTGGCTCCCGAAGCAGAACTTTACTAAGTTCATCAATGAAAATTCAGCTGTAGTTGACAGTGAAAATGTTATCAGATCTGCACTTGATCAAGACCAGCAAGAGTTTGTATAGCCTTATGTCTGACATCGCAGAAGCCAGAGTTAGGAATTTTTTCAAGTTCAATCTATCAGTGCTGTAGATTTTTCTCCCTTTTGAAATGGTATGTTGTAGAATAAATGTAGATGATTGTACAAAAACCTGTTCTGTCTTGTCAAGATACGGAAACATGCTTTTGCGACCCAACTAGCTACTAACTTCTCTCATCTTTCTGTTTGAGATTATAAATATAAATAAGCAATCCTTTCATTTGATATTGCGCCTTTCACGTCAGGAGGTCGTCACAAGATTTACTGAATGTATTTTGTAGGCAAATACAGCAAACAAATTGTACACAAAAATCTCCCACAAAATGCCATAAAGTGAATTACGAATTTTATGTGGGGTATTGTTGGCCACGTCTCTTTTTGAATGGTGTCATTGGGATCTTTAACATCCACCTGATCAGGTAGACAGGACCTTGGTCCAGCACTTTAGATAATGCAGCACTACCCCAGCACTGCACTGGAGTAACAGCTTAGACCAATAAGTTGTTCTGTTTTTCTTCCCCTGCCATTCTAACGTTCTTCTTCCCCCCTCTCCTGAAGAGGGTAAATCATGCTAAAAACTACTGTTTTCTGCCTCCCACTCTCTGGACCTCCATCCGAAGGCACCTCCATCTCGCTCCCTCCCTTGCCTCCTTCAAGGCCCATCTCAAGAGCTTCCTCTTCGACTGTAACTTCGGTCATTCTCCCACCTCGACTCCAACCCTCAACGCTTGGGTGCAAACCCTTCACTGTCCAGCGGCTTGGGAAATTTTCCAACATGAAAGTGGCTATATAAATGCAATTTGCTGTTATTGTTTTCCAATGTTGAGAACAGTAAACTAGATTTGAGGGAGCCAAGAGTACAGACAGAAGAATAGGACTGGAAGCACAGTTAATTCAGGTTTGAAAAGAGGAAGGTAATGAAAGACACCACTTTATTAAAAAAACAATATAAAACACAGTTGGTTCATTTACTTTCTGTACTGCCTCCAAACCAGTTTGATGAGGTTCCTGGTAAAAGTCTGATCAAAGTACAGAATTAACCAAGGAAGTTGGTTCTTTGCACACCTCAAGTTCACTGGGTTCCATTTGACAATATAAACAGGATGCAAAGTACACTTAAATAGTGCAATTACAGAAGCACCCTATGAAACAAACATGACTGTTGCTATAGTTATGCAGCACTTTGGAGGTTGGATCAGACCCAGAATGGCAATGTAAACTTAATTTGGTTTCCTTTTAACAAATGTCATGAACCAGATAAACCAGACCCATCTTAGGGGTTGATATCACTGATAACAATTCAGGCTTATGCAGTTTTGCCAGTTAAATCACACCCACCTTATCTGGAAAATACTTCTGTACTGTACCACCAACCACTCTTTCCTTATAATGTGCCAGAACTACCCCCATTTTAAATAAAATGCTATGTTTAGGTGCACTACTTATTTTTTTCATAAGAAAAGGTCTGGAACTGCCCTCAGCAAGTAGCTGGAATAACAAGCAGCTCCACTAATCTACCCACGCAAATCCAATGTACCGACCCAGATTATGATAGCAGCTCTCACAATGACTAGAGCGAGTACAGTGTGTGCTTATGTTAATTCAACTGTTTTATGCTGTCTGGATCAATAATTCCTCCAACGAACAAACAGGATCTTTCTTGAAAGGCAGATAGGAAAAACAAGAGGAAAGAATCTAATGTGAACAGAAAGCGAAAGATTTTTTAAATGCTCAGGTTCAGTTTACACTAGTCCCATCAGTAACACTGTTGTAAAGCGCTCTGTGTGAAGGGCGCTATATAAGTGCAAGTTGTTGTTGTTGTGAAGAGATTGAGTCAATGTACATTTACTACCAATCCCAATGGTGATTTCAGATGCCTCAGTCAGTAGCAGGAAACTAATAATAATAATAATCCTTGCATTTGATATAGCGCTTTTCACGTCGGGAGGACGTCCCAAAGCGCTTCACAGAACACACTGTAAAGTGAATTGATTGTATATTTGTGGGCGAACGCGGCAGCTAATTGCGCACAGCAATGTCCCACAAACATTCGTAGATTGAAAATGACCAATTTATTATTGTTTTGGGTTTTTGGAGGGATTATTATGCCATGACCATCGTTACTGACAGGGGAGTGAAGCCATTAAGTGTTGTGATGGCATTGGTATCAACCAGCACTCCAAGTCTCAAGTATACGTCTAGTTACACCAGTTTGATCATGTCTAGTTACACTGAATTATCCAATTCTATGCATAATGTTCCGGGCTCCATTTCGATTTCTGATTTCAAACTGATGGCTTTTTGATGGACTTCTGAAAAAATGAAATGCTGCCACATTGAATGAATTGTGAAGACGGGGCTTTGAACAAGCTGGGCATGACCTGCTGATTTGTAGATCATTCCTGAAAGTTTCCATCAGAGGCATTCAGGATCCAGGACTCACCAAATTAATAATAATAATCCTTGCATTTGATATAGCGCCTTATCACAATAATGAGACATCTAAAAGTGCTTCACAGGATTTTACTGTTGAAGTGCATTGGCTGTGTAGTGATCGTGCAGATAAATTACTCACAGCAATGTCTCACAAATAGCCATTGAGTGAATGATCAAGTTTATTTGGGGAATTGTTGGCTAGAATACCTGGAGAAATTCTCTTCTCTTTTTAAGTACCTGTATGCCATGGGATCTTTAACGTGCACCTGAACAGGTATATCAGCATTTGGTTTAATGTCTCATCTCATGTTTAATGGCACCTCCAACAATTCCAGCAGTATACTGGAGTGTATCAGGGTGACTGGACATAATGGGGTTTCACCTGCACGTCAGTCACTTCTCCTCCCCAATCTCTCAGTTTTGAATCACTCTCATAAGGTTCAGCTGCTTGCGATCCGTCCCTCCTTCCCTCCCTCCCTTATGCCATTGTTTGGCTTATTTTCCCATCACAAGTACTCATCTTACAACAGAAACTGCAATGTAGCTGTGCAACAGAGTGTTAGACCGGAACTTAGCATCTGCTTGTTTTATGCCTGAATGCAATTCAGAAGCAAAACCCCAGAATATGAACATACCAACTGACAAGGCACTGAATGCTAGGAAAAATCTAATCCAAACAAATTTTCTCGACCGATTTCTAAGAACTG